TAGGAGGCCTGGTAGGGTGTGATCAAGGGTAATGTAACCAAGAGGAATTACTGAAATCCAAATGAAGACTAAGCATGATAGTGGGATACGAGGAAAGTCAAAGGAAATAGAAGAAAGAGCTGGGAGGTAAAGAACATTTATAGAGATCTAAATAAAGACATGTACATATGCAAATATATTTATATATGAGGATGGAGAAATAGATCTGTGTGCATATTTGTTTTAATCTATTTATTGGAGCTCATACACCTCTTATCACAATCCACACATACATTAATTGTGTAAAGCACACTTATACATTCGTTGCCCTCATCATTCTTAAACTTGCTTTCCGCTTGGGTTCCTGGAATCAGCTCCTCATTTTTCCTCCCCCCCCTCTCCCTCCCTGCTTCCCCCTCCCTCATGTACCCTTGATAATTTATAAATGATTATTTTCTCTTATCTTACACGGCCCGGTGTCTCCCTACACCCAATTTTCTGTTGCCGATTCCCCAGGAAGGAGGTTATATGTAGATCCTTGGCATCAGTTCACCCTTTCTACCCCTCCTTCCCTCCCGGTATCGCAACTCTCACCACTGGTCCTGAGGGGTTCATCTGTCTTGGATTACGTATGTTTCCAGTTCTCATCTGTACCACTGTCCATCCTCTGGTCTAACGAGGTTTGCAAGGTAGAATGGATGTCCACTTGTCTGAAGATGGGCATTGGGTCCCCATCACGCGCTCCCCTCATCCACGATATGATTTACCCCCCAACACCCACATTTGGTGCTTGAAAAGCCCACATGGTGGCAGCACACCAACATGGGTGACTATGTGCATATATTTTTAGGTTTGGTATTAAGGTAGCAGAAGGACATTGGGCCTCCACCACAGTACTCCCTCAATGCAAGAATACTTTCTTCTATTAAATTGGCATTCTATGATGCTCACCTTCCTGACACAACCACTGAAGACAAAGCGGGTGAATAAGTGAATGTGGTGAAGAAAGCTGATGGTGCCAGGCTATCAAAAGATATAGCATCTGGGGTCTTAAAAGTATGAAAGGTAAACAAGTGGCCATCTAGCTCAGAAGCACCCATCTGGAAGAAGCACACCAGCCTATGTGATCATGAGGTGCCGAGAGGATCAGTTATCAGGCATCAAAGAACAAAAAATCATATCATTGTTTGCTCACCTCCCTGATATGATCGCTGAAGACAAATGGGTGCATAAATAAATGTGGGAAAGAAAGATAATGGTGCCCAGCTATCAAAAGATCTAGCATCTGGGGTCTGAAAGGCTTGAAGGTAAACGAGTAGCCATCTAGCTCAGAAACAACAAAACCCACATGGAAGAAGCACTCCAGCCTGTGCGATCAGGAAGTGTCGAAGGGATCAGGTATCAGGCATCATCAGAACAAAAGATCATATCATAGTTAATGGGAGGGGGGAGGCGGAGTGGAGATCCAAAGTCCATTTTCAGGCCACTGGACAACCCCTTACAGAAGGGTCTAGGGGAGGAGATGAGCCAGTCAGGGTGTGATGTAGCAATGATGAAATATACAACTTTCTTCTAGTTCCTAAATGCTTCCTCTTCCCTCACTCTAATGATCCCAATTCGACCTTACAAATCTAGCTAGAGCAGAGGATGTACGCTGGTACAGATAGGAACTGTA